AGAAGCCAAAGGAACATAAACAACACAATAAGGATACTATCAGAAAAATCTAGAGCAAAAAATCCACATGACAAAATAAAACAAATTTCTTAAGTAAATAGATACAAAAGGTAAAAATTGGATGGGCAGATCATCTTTAGATTAAAGGAGAATCAATACTATACAGAGAGCTAAAGTAAAGAGAAGTTAAAATTTAAACAAGAAGATATCTCCATATGTCCAGAAAGAAAAAAGATGGAAAATACCAAATATTTATGATGATGTGGAGAGTTGGACACTTAATACTACCAATAAGCATACAGATTAGAACAACCCCTTCAGAAAAAGTTTGACGCCATCTACTGATGGCAGATAAACTCCACTGGTTGACTGATGTCAAAAATAAATGGGAATAAGTGACTATCTAAAATTTTGTACAAGAACATTCATGGCATCAGTATTTATAAGAATTCAAAAATTGAAAAATGCATACATCTCCATTATGTATGGGGTGCAATTATCCAAACTATGTAATACTTATACTATAAACCAATGAAAATGAATAATCTATAAATAGAGAGGGCAAAATGTAAATCACAAACATTCTGTTGATTGAAAAAAGCCAGACACAAAAGAATACATGCCATATGATTCCAGGAACTTTTACTATTTTCTTACATAACCTGCAGGTTGATCTCAGATAACTACATCCTCTACATCCTTAAGAAATGATTTGCTACATATAGGAATAGAATTAATGAAGCCTCTGATTAAAAAAAAAACAACTGAGTGAGAGAAAGGAGACATACCTGGGCTATAGTGCCAGTTCTAACCCAATAGCTCTAGATGACCTTGGATAAATGTCATCTGCTCCACCTGTCACCAAGGGTCAGACCAGCCTTGCTTCCCAATCAACAAAGTCTAGAGCACAGTTAAATGTGATTTCCATCAGGAAAAGCACTCTGAGTTCATAAAAGGGAATATAATTTGCCATAGAAATCCAAAGAATTACTTTAATGGCCAAATTTTCTAATGTAATGTAACTGTGATGATTATTACATTTTAAAAATAATCATTACTCTTTTGTTCCTATGACTATTACCTTTCGATAATAATTTGTAGATAAACACCATCTGATACATGGCAAAATGGCTACTAAAGGATGATTTTCACACAAAGAAATAAGATTCTTATATATAATATTAAACATGATGGGCTGATATGATTCAACAAATCTTTTTTTCTTCTTAAGTGTACTGGTCAGGAATGCAGGCTCTGCAGACAAACTAGGGACAAATCCTTGTTCTTCAATATTGTGTGACTCTGAATACTTTTATCTCACTTTAAAGTCATTCAAAGGCCCCATCTGTAGAATCTGGATTATGCAGTACTTTCAAAGAAAAGAAAATGCTCTTAAATAATTGCTTTGTGCTTTCGTTTTACAAGGATAAATAGTCAGTATCCTATTATTTAAAAAATATTTTGCATAGATATTGGGATACTTGGCTGTCTATGACCTTGGGAGAGGGAAGGAACTACTTTCTGCCTCAGCTTTTTCTTCTGTAAAAAAATTAGGAAATCAGATTTTCCTACCTCAAGGGTTATTGTTTTGAGATTACTCAAGTTAGTACATTAATGTACTTAGAATATTACTGGGTACACAGTAAAGGATTAATATTGTGATCTGTGACATAAATACTTGCAAGTTGAGATTTTAATTTTATGCTATTTATTTTTAAACTGACATAAATTGCATTTACTTATTTTTACAACATGATATTTTGAAGTATATATACATTTCAAATGATTAAATCAAATTAATTAACATATGCATTACCTCACATATTCATAATATTTTAAAAAACACTTAACATCTACTTTCTTAGCGTTTTTAAAGAATACAATATAATGTCATCAATTATAGTCACTATGCTATACAGTAGATCTTTAACTTTAATTTTGTATCTTTTTAACATCTTCCCGACACTTCTCAAACTGCCCCAGCTTCTGTTATTCTCTGTATTTCTGAGATCAACATTTCTAGATCCCACATATAAGATCATGCAGTACTTGTCTTTCTATGACTGGCTTATTTCACTTAACATGATGTACTCCATTTTCATATATGTTGTTGCAAATGACAATATTTCATTTTTTGTGGCTGGATATTATTCTATTTCCCCCTTTCTCTTACTTACACACACACACACACACACACGCACACATTTTCTGAGCTCATTCAACTGTTTATGGACACTTTATGGATTGATTACATTTCTTAGTAATTGTTAATATATCTGCAACAAATATAGGAATGTGGATATTCTTTCCACACATTGGTTTCATTTATTTTGGATATATACTCTATATTGGAATTGCTGGGTCATGTGACAGTTTTATTTTTAATTTCTGATGGAAACTTCATACTGTTTTCTATAACAGCTTTAATAATTTACATTTCTACCAAGAGTGTGCAAAGGTTCTTTTCCTTCACATCCTCATCAATACTTGTTATCTTTTGTCTTTTTATTATAGCCATTTTAACAGGAATGTTACTTCATCATGGTTTCAATTTGCATTTTCCTGATGATTAGGGATGTTGAGCATTTTTATATAACTGTTGACCATTTGTATATCTTCTTTGAAAAATGTCTATTAAGGTCTTTTGCTCATTTTCAATTGGGTTATTTGCTTTCTTGCTATTGGATTATTTGAATTCCTTTATCAGAAGTACAGTTTGCAGGTTTGAAGTTCTCTTTTTACTCTGTCCATTTCTCTTTATCTGTGCAGAAACTTTTTAATTTGGTATAATACTATTTGTCTATTTTTGCTTTTGTTGCTTGTGTTTTTGATGTCACATGCAGATAAAAATTGCCTGAATCAATATCAGGAAATTTTACCCTTAGTTTTCTTCTAGTGCTTTCACAGATTCTGTTTACAATTAAGTCTTTGATCTACTTTGAGTTGATCTTTTATATGGTGTGAAGTAAAATCTAATCCATTCTTCTGTATGTGGATATTCAATTTTCCCAATACCATTTATTGAATTGAAAGACATTTTCCCATTGTATGTTCTTGGCACCTTTGTAGAAAATCAGTTGGATGTAAATATATGAATTTATGTCTCAGCTCTCTATTATATTCCACTGGTCTGTGTCTTTTTTTATGCCAGTACCATGCTGTTTTGATTAGTATAGCTTCACAGTATATTTTGAAATCAATATGAATTATGTATTAGTCTTTCAATCATCTTCCTGTCTGCACATTACCAAAGTGCTTTTCTGTTCAATCTCTTTTCTGAAGAGAAAAAACAAAGTTCATACATGCATGAGGTATGAAAGCACTATCATTTATGTTAACTAGTCCAACTCTTTCATTTTACAGATAAAGAAACTGAGACTCTGAAAAGTTTAATGAAAAATATAGGAGCAAAATCCAGTCTAGTATGCATGACACTACACCTGTGACCTTTCAATTGGTTTGAAAAACTCAAACATACATATTTCTCTATGAACTGTACAACTGCACATACAGCTGTTAAATATAGTATAATTAAATAGTGACATATTTAGTAAAATAAATAAAATATATTTTGTTAATTATTGTTGGTATTGTAAGTATAGTGATTGGTCTTGATTTAAGGGCAATTGGTTCACAGTTGGTACCTTTGAGGGAGTTTATTTCCCTACAACAGAAAAAGAAATCACTTTAAAGTATATATTCATTAAAGTATTTTTATCTCTAAGCTATAATTGAATATATTTGGATTTTGTTAAGCTTTTACTGTAAATAAAATTAATTTATTCAGAAAAGGAAATGAGATATAAGTTGTTGGCAGCTTGAAAATTAGTCACTTTCATTTAATATGAAAAACCTCTTCTAGGAATGATAGAAAGGATGCAGGGTACCAAAACTATAATGTAAATTATAAGTTAAAATTGATTAATCTATAGTCTCAGGTGTAAGATTAAAAAATAACCTTCAATAGTCAGAAGATATGAGTTAAAATTTTAACTCCATTACTTTCTAGTTTTTAACCTTGAAGCAATGAAATAAACTGAATTTCAGTTTCTTCATCTGCAAAGAGTTAACACTTGCACCTGGTAACTCTTTAGATTATTTAGAATAACATATGATAAATATACATCAGAGTATTTTGTAAGTGAAAAATCATACAACTATTGACATTATCATAGTAACGATTAAAATGGGGACCTAAAGAGCATTGTAAATAATTACTACTTAGTAGCACTAGACATACTCACTAAACAAACTTAACTCAGAGGGTAAACTATGCAAACACTTTCAACTTTCAATGATAATGCTAAAACATCATACAGAAACATACCACAAAGTAACCTTTACAGAGAAAGCACTAAAAGACACACAGTTGGTTGAATTAAGAGACTTTTAAATGAGTTAGAATGATTTACAGCCCACAGAAAGGAATTAGATCTTTACATGGTGAAAGTTGTTAGTCACCCACAAGAAAGACAAGCACTATGGGCAATTCCAAGACTAATGTCATAAAATTTCGTCACTTTTGTTTGTTTTGTAAACCAGGCTTCTAGCTGGCAACCATGCTACATTTTCCCAGTAATTCAACATACCCTATAAGAGATTAGAAAACTTTAACTTCTTAATAACATTCAATGTGAACTTGCACAAATGCTAGGCATAAAATAACAAATGTTTATAATTCTACAGGCATCCAAAAGTTCCCTTCATATTCATTTTGATTCATTAAAGAATAATGGAAATATAGGAACACATACACACAAAATTATTATGCAATTGTCTTATTTTTATAAGATAATATTCCACTCTGGTAGCCTTTTGTTTTGTTTTTGGTTGTAAAATTAATTTAAGTAGCCCATTACCTTTTATATCAAATATGCCTTTTGATGTTTGCTGTTGTAGCAAAAAAAAAAAAAAAAAGAGAGAGAAATCTAAAAAAGGTAAAAAGCAAAAGAAAAACATTCAAGACAAATGAAATAATTCATTCTGTATAAAATGTGGTGTTTCAAATGCAGAATAATTTAATAACTCTTGGTTATTTCATATGCATCTGGAAATGGGACAGATACATGTCCTGTTCCTGTCACAAGAGGCAGAATTCCAGCATTTGGTACAACGTTCCAAGATAAGGTCAAAGTGACATTCCTGTTTCCCTTGAGACCATTTCCATCATCAAAGAAAAAATATTTTGTCTTCATGTCTTTCAATAGCAGCTTCGGATTATCACCTCTCAGAACAATCTTGTCCCAAAGGACCACTTGATTCACAGCATTATTTTTTGTTGAATATTCCGCTGATAAATAAACAAACAGCTGCTTAACATTCCAATCGAAAGTATTCTCCAGATCCGCAGTGATATGAAATGTAATGAATCCCAGATCACTTCTTTTTCTGGGTCCAGTGAAGTCTTCTACGTTTTTCAGCAGGATCCGCGAAACGTGCAAACGCACCGGGGCGCTCCTGTCTTTGAATGCTGTGGTGATGAAGCAGCCCAAGGTGAGCGCCGCCATCACGCTCAGTGAGAAAGCGAACAGTGAGTTCGCCCGCGATAATATCGAGTTCATCTCGACCTTCTCCCACGACCCTGTCTCCACAGGCACACCAGGGGTCTGGGCTCTGGTTCGCCCTGCGCACTTGCTCCTTGTGATTTTAGCTGACTGCTAGGCAGGCGTTCCCTGAGCGTGCGCCAACCACGATTTCTTTTTTTTTTCCAAGTCACTAGTTTACAGTACAAGCACTGTTCAATGTATTTAGAATGTCAGCGGCGCTTAGTATAACTGATGTCAGAAAACACCAACTCTATTTCTCCATGTGGCTGAACGAGCCCAGGGCTCCTTTTTGATTCTGCCTTATTCCCACAAGGACACACAGCCACTGGAGGTACAGATTGCCTTATCTCCGGACACGCCCTGTCTAGGTGCATTTTCTCTCTGCACACGCCACTGGTCCTATCCACCCCATTCCCTCCCCTGAACTTCAGCAATATTCAAATGATTGTTTGCACAGGCTATTTTGTAGTCCACTCTCCACACAGCAACCAGAGTTACCTTTTGACAAGAATCAGATTCTTTCACTCCCAAACTCTAACCCTTCACACTCAGAATAAAACCCAAACTCCCTTTGTGGACCAAACCCTAAAGCTCCTGTTTGCCCTTTGCACCTCACCGCCAACTAGTCTACATATTGTCTGCCAGGCTGCCAACACTGAATTTTTCCTCTGTTTCTTGATCAGCTGATGTCCATGAACAGCGCAGGGACACTGATGAAATTACTGATTCATGCCTGGCTTCTTCTTGTCCTTTGGACTCAGCTCAAATACCACTTTCTGAGAAGGAGCTTCACTGACAACCCCATCTATCATAATACCTGTTCCCTGATTTTCTACTCTATTTATGTGTATTATTATCTTCAAATCACAAATCACCATATGACATTGTTCTTTTTAATGATTTGTTTTCCTGCTAATTGTCACTATTCCCAAATTAGAATGTTAGCTCCAGAGATTCTGCCTATCTTGTTCTTTGCTCTGTTTCCCTAGTGCCTAGATCCTAGTCTCATATATGAATTACTGAATAAATATTACTTAATTGAAGGAAATTTTACCAATTTGATACACCAGAGAATACACAGACATTTAAAGCCAAGAAATAGGAGTAACCAACAATGGAATTAGACATCAAAGGATTCAAAAATTTAGCAGAACTTGTTACAAATTCACAAAAGTGCTTTCAAACCTGGATGAATACTGGAAACAACTAGAGAAATTACTCAAAATATGGACATGTCCATCCAACCTTCCTGGTTTTGAATCAGCAGACATAGGGTGGACCCAAATATGTGCTATTTTAATAAGCAACAATTGATGATTTTGATGAAGTGATTCATGGACCACACTTTCAAAAATGCTGATCTCAATAGCTCACATTTGAGTGCTATTATTTTATTAAGTACTATTGCATAGTTATGGGACATCTGGAGTGTTTGTTAATTTATTTACTTGAAAGTTCATAAACCACACTTAGACCACACATTTCTTTCCTACATGGGATCATACTTATCTTCAGAGTAGTCCTGATGATCAGAAAGATCTTATATAGAGGAGGTTAGTGTAGGGTAGCATCTTACCAAAGTGTTCCCATGGTGGGACACTGATCTCTCCAGGAATCTGTCCAGCAGACTCAACATCATATTTGTTTTTCTCTATAAGCTCCTGGCTCTGGAGTACAGAGTGCACACCATTCTCTAATGTTAAACTAGAAGAATAAGTAAAGGGAAAGAGAACACATAGAATAGAGAAAAAATAAGAGGATGTTGTCTTGCCTTTCCTAACTCAAGTTAACTGGAAGCTGTTCAATGATGTTTTTCCTCTTTCACAGCTCCATTCCACAACTCCCTTCTGCACACAGCAGTGACCCAGAAACTCACTAATAATGAAAACATGGGCTTATCCCTGCTTGATATTACATTTCCAAGTATTCTCACTATTGTCAGGGTATTATACTGATATAATAGGCATTGTTTGGCTGAGCACAGTGGCACACACCATAATGCCAGTGGCTTGGGCAGCTGAGGCAGGAGAATCTCAAGTTCAAAGCCAGTCTCAGCAACTCAGTGAGGCCCTAAGCAACTTAGTAAGACTCTATCTCTAAATAAAATATAAAAAAGGGCTGGAGATGTTGCTCAGTGTATAAGCCCCTGTCCCCCAGGTTCAGTCCCTGGTACCAAAAACAAACAAGCAAAAAACTCCCCAAAACAAAACAAAAAATACATATTGTATGGACAGAATGAAGGAAGCAAAGTGTGAATGAGGAAGTAACATTTGCTTTGCTGATGGATAAAAGATGCACTACATTGTAGGTTGCTATTTTTAGATGATCTTCAAAAAATGGTGCTCTGAGGTAGGCTTCATTGCTTCTTTTTTATACATGGGGAGATGTTAGTCTCAGAGAGCAAAGTAAATTCTCAGGGAATTCTAGAAAGGTATCAAGTGGACACTTAGACCCAGTTGAAGTGACTTCCACTGGTTAATTTGGGGACAATCTAAAGATAAAATATATAACAGAGGGTAACTTCTGAGAAAAATGTGAATCTTAGAATCAGACTGATACAATGATATTGGTACATGATAAATAAATAAATAAATAGGAAATGAAGATTCTACACTCTTCTCAAATGCCAACTAAATATTTTAGAAGGAACATCAGAATTAGAAAAGCAGCACATGTGAGCACCAAAGTAATTAGTAATTCAGGCAAAAATCATAAACAGATGCTCAGTATATTCCAAATCCCACAGCAGTCACAGTCACTATGGTAACCATGCTGGCCAAGGAAATGTTAGGAAAAACAAAGAACAGCCACAGTAATCTCATCTCTAATATGTGCTAGGATCTGAATAAGAACGACTTGACCACAAAAATTAACTTTAAGTATACTTCACAATAAAAATTCCTAGCAGCTTCAGTGGTATGTAAATATATACATACATTTACGAATATACAAATATGTACATATTGTTTCCCCTTCTTTCATACCACCCAGGATCCCAGGAATTCATTAAGCTGAATTTTTTAGGAGGTAAAGAAGTAAAAGCACACATTTCATCGGTTTAATTTCTAACCATGTATATACTATTGAAAGCTACTAAACTATGTTCTTTTAGAGATTGATTTTTTTTTTTCTGTAGATGACCTGTAGAACTGTTCCTGGGACATTTTATCCCTAGTTTCTATGTATTCCTAATGGCTTCCAAAATCTTACATGGAAATACTGATAAATGTGGATTAAGCATGAAATAATTTTTCTGCCAAAAATATTCCTTAACAGCTAATATTAACATATGGTTGCTGAAAGTTCAGAAAAATAGAATAATTGACATTTGTATTTGTAAAATAATATTTTAAGATACATCAAAAAGCATGAAATATTTATGAACAATCTGTCCCCAGAACTGTGATATGTACATTGATTACTACAGAATATTGCTGAGAAAAGTAAAGATGTAAATAATTAGAAGATATACCCTGTTCATGGATCAGAAGACTTGGGATTGTTAAGATGTCAATTCTCTCCAGTCTGATCTACAAACTCACAGCAACTGCAGTCAAAATTGTTATCTTCCATTCATGATATTTTCTTTCATACAGAGGGACATAAATCTCAAAATGACTTTAGCATCTCTACATACTCACTCCTCTGGGTATCAATTATCTGATTAATGAATTTGGAAGGAGAAGCAGGGGTTCCTCATCCCAGCCCCTTTCCCTATCAAAACTATTAATCATAGTCTGGGCTGAACAAGTGTGTGTTCTGCTTTGCTTGCCAGAGGTGGGTATTGCAAAGAGCCCACAACTCTATTTTCTCATTTTCTTGTCTGGCTGGCTTACTTTCTCTTTCTATCATGTTGGTCCATAAAGCTTGGATCATTATGAGACTCTGCCCAAATACACCTCCTCCACATCTGACCTCTGAGCCAACCAAGAAATACAACAAGAGCCTATGGAGAACAAAACATCAACTTCATTCCTTCTTAAGGTGACATTGGAGAAAAAGGCTTAGGTCTGAGGATAAGATATTTCTTAATAAAACAGAATCAAACAGATTTATCAACACTGTGGTGCTACACTGGGTCAGTCTAAAAGTCAACCACTGCAATGCATATCCTAGCTGCTGTCCCAAGGAGTCTTGCCTATGTGTGCTTAAGGAAAGTAACTTCCTTGTTGCAAGGCTATCCCTGTCACAGGTACCATATTCTCAAGTCACACTTTTTGTGAAAAAATTTTGAATGTGAATAAATACTTCTTATTTTAATTCAATATTCACCTAGCAACCTTCTAAGGTTACAGATTTCCATGTACCTCATAAGATCCTCCAATCTTAGGACCCTGAACACTGCTTCATATCAAATTTGGCATGGATTTGTGTATGGTCCAACCAGGCTGAGCATCCAGCAGTGAGACAGATTTTCCTATCTGAATGGATGGAGAAAACTCAGGGGGTCTGAATGTACTGAGTTATCCAGGGAAATGGTCAGCTTAGCATTGAGCAATGTGGACAGATGAGTGATTAACCATAGGAGCCAATGCTGACTGAATTTGGGGGAAATTCTCATAAGTGGACTGCTTTGTCAAAGATCATAAACATTGAACAAAAATCAAATTGAATTTGATTATGGTCTCATTTCATGACTCAGAAAATTTCCTGGAATTTTGTAGAGTTTTAAAAGAAAACCCAATCAGTGGGCTTATATTTATGTTTCATTCTCTTTACATGGAAAATATGAGGTCATGAGATCTGCATACGTTGCTGGCAGAGAACATATTAATGCAATTATTTGTGAAAATACTTAGCAACATCTGTAAGAGAAGAAAGTGTGTCACCTGTCAACTTCTACCCTATTAGGTCTAAACCGCAGAGATTTACAGGCACATGCACAAGAATGTTCACTACAGGATTGCTAAAATGTCAAAACTGCAAAGTCATCAACATCAGAGCAAACAAGAAAATGTTTTCAGAGGGAAAAGGTTACAAAATGGCCCCCATTCTATGATATCATTCACATAGTTAAAACTAAAAATGTATAAACAATTATATTTTTTACATAATTTTTGCACAGTGACTCTACTCAATAGGTGACTCACTGATGTAAAATCAAATTTACAGAGTCATTTAGTAAGGAACAGGAATAGGATTCTAACTCTTACCCTCCCCTAAGGATACCCTCCTTTATTAATGATGACTTTCCAGTTCATGACTTGTAGATTTAAATGATTCTGGCATTGTGCTCTTATGTATATGCACTTATTCTTTCTCCCTC